AAAAGGAAATTTGACTGGGAAGGTACCTTAAAGAACCTACTTTTTGGATTTTTAGATGTTTTCTCAACAAATGTGAAAAATCGAAAATAAACTTTAAAAAAACTGGAGAATCAAATACATTAAAAACATATTATTAACGATAATATATGATGCCTATTTTATTAATTTATCATAATATGGCATATATATTGTTGACAAAACATAACTATTAACTGAACTTCGCTCAGAATCGTTTTTTCGTAAGCAATAGTTAATCGTTGTTAACAGACATGCATTAAATTACCTATAACAGTGGCTGCACTCGTTCCCAATATCCTAGGACGTATTTTTAAATGGACGGGAAAATAAACCAATATCTAATTTATTTTAATTATGCCCATTATGACAGGATTACAATAATATGGCCGTCATATATTTATTATAACTGTTAACAGGGACTTAAGTTGTGTGTAGTACGATACAATTTGTGTAATGCGAATGTTAGGCGTGTAGTGGATAATTTATGATATTTATTCATATTATTATTCGTTTTTAATTTTGCATTTTTTTTTTTTTTTTGTAATTTTAATAGTTATTATTGGGAGAAAAAATTCTTTATCATAGTTCTCACCAACATTATAAACGGTGTTTATCTGATTATAAAACTCTGCTTGTCAAATAAACATCCGATAGCCAAAACATTGCCTTTCATCAAGAGCGTTTAACTATAAACCGCGTTTATAAGATAACCGACCACTTTTGCTCGGTTATCAACTATAAACTCGGTTTATAGACCTGTTAAAATTATTAAGTATGTACTATACGTACGCATACTCGAAATACGTATTATTATTATTATTATTTTTTTTTTTTGGATTTATTTCCACGGCAGACGCGGAATTGAATAAATTCGCAAGTATTTTCAACTGATCTTACTTAACAGGACTACCAATAGCATCAAATTTTTTTATTTTCTACTATTTTATAATTCTGCTGTACAAGACCAATTAAAAGGTCCTTCTCCACGACTTGGTAGAGAGGTTCTATTTTGTTTCTTTTTAATAAATTGTCCATTTTAATTTTTAAATTGTATAACTAACAAAACTAGACTATCTACCAAATAGTCGTAGTTAAAGTACATAATTTAGGCTTATCGAAAAATTGTTTATTAAACACACAGTTATCGTGGTGAAACGCGCTCGTTTATAAACCGAGATTAGTCTATAAATTACGATAACCGTAGTTTCCCGTAAACGGAGTTTATCGGTTTTCAGTGAGAAAGGTCCTTAGTTAACAACATATTGACAATTATCACATTTTATTTCAAAATTGATGAATGCACTGAAAGGTTAAAGGTACCTTTATTATCAATGTTTAATTCATATAGATATGATACATTATTAAATAATGAATCAAAACTGTTCATTATTGTGTGTAATTAACATAATATGTAGTATGAATTATGTTCATGATGGGTAGATTGTATTAGTTATATATTTTAGTTTCTGAGCGGAACGAGGTATGTATTGGTTTTACAATAATGTTTATTTTTATTTTTTTTTTTTCTGTGAACCACTTTTATACCAGAAGTTATTTTTGATTTTCAATTTTAGCATCTTTTTTTTAAACAGGACATTTTTGTGGGGTGGTAATTTAGGACGTCAATTTTTGATTATCTTAGGGATATTCATAATAAATAGTTAAACTGGAAAAGTTTACAAAATGTATTATTTTCAAATCGTAAATCATATGGCCTTTCAAAACATGTCTAACCGAACTCTGCTCAGAATCGTTTTTCGTTAAGAATGATTAATCGTTGCGTGCAGATATACATTAAATGTGCACTCTATCTTCTCAACTCTTCATCTACAACAGTGGCTCACTTATCATGCGGAGTATGTCGGTTTGTTTTTAAAGCTGTTTTGAATTGATTTATAAAAAAAAAAAACAAACAAGTATACTCATTTAGTCATTTAGTCCTTAGTAATTCTAAAATACCATCTTTATAATGGTAGATGCTAAACAGTTATCGAAACTCCTTTGCGGAGGGTGGTGGGTGGGTTAATGATACCTATGATTTAGTATGGTCCGGTATAAAGTGCGCAGTACAAAAACGTATAGGTACCTATATATTTTAGCCCCTGAGCTGTTATTATTGTTACTATTATTATTTAGTTCGAATTATGCCTGAGAAATGTTTACACTTAGAATTAGTGACGGTTAAAACATTTCGTGTTTGTAAACGATTATCAATTGAAATAATTAAAGGGCCTTTACACCGGAATTGTTATATATGTTTGGCTCGCGCTTAATTGAATATAGCAAACAAACGTGTTCGGACTTACGTTATTCATCTCACGTACACACGCATATCATCGGACCCGGGCGTTTCGGCGTGAAGACGATTTCGACGTATTTCCATTTCATAATTACAATGATTCTGACTAATATTTATTTACTACCTATAAGTTAAATTTTAAAAATACGAAAAATCGTAATGACGGTAAACTAGTTAAAATTTGAAAAATATCTTTTTCGTCGAAATACTTATTATACCTACGAAACATCCCACTTGCCAAACCGTATATTTTTTATTTTACTTATTTACCATTTACCCAAAGGCGTAATGCGTATGGGAAATTTGAATAAGTTTAAATCTAATAATATAGGCACAAAAAGAATATATACATAACAAGAAATGCAATCGGTAGGTAGTTGAGGCGGTTGGGAACCAACCGTAATTAAGGAGTTATAGGTAGGCAATTTTTAGTTTTTCTCTGTTACGCGTTGTTGCGTGCATAGTAAATGAACATTAGTGTGAGTGTTGTCATCTTACACCCTCCGTCTTCACACCCTTCCGATTTATTGTTGTAAACGAAAACAATATTAACCGGTTTATCGTTTATCAAGGATTCTAATTGTCGCGATCGTACGTCGCATAAGGTGACATCGGTTATCGGATTATGTACAGTATAAAATACTAGATAAAATGTCAGTTGGTTCTCTAACTAGTGTCTTGGCTAGAGAGCCAAACCAAAGTTGAAGTACGATAAGTATGTTATCATTACAATGTTTCAAAAGGCGGTACTCCGGACAACTTGCAATACAATTACTAGAACACTGGGGATTCAGAAAAAATCTTTTTAGATACTGAGTGTAGCAAAGAACGAGTTAGGTTTAACAAAGATTTTTTTTTTTATGTGAATTTTATATTTTCTACCAGCAGTTTTGCTCCAACTTTTGATGATAGCAATGTTTCTAAAAGGAAATTTCACTAGAGTGATACTATAAACAGGTCATTTTTCGATTTTCTCAGGTGTTTTCACATCAAATGTAAAAAATTAAAAAAAAAAACGGGAAAATGTAATTAATAAATATTACGGTCTACTTTATTTCTGCGAATAACTTTTCTACTAACAATTTTACTTTGATTTACAATGATGGGACTTTTTCTGAAAGAAAATCTTATTGGGAAGGTACTATAGACATTAGACAGGTCATTTTTTTCTTTTTCCAGGATTCTTCTCAACAAATTGGAATACAACGGAGGAAAACGCGATAATGTACAAAATGTAGGTATTAGTTAAAACATATTTCCTTGTGAAAAGTTTTACCCCTGTTCATTTTAAAATCTGATAACTTGACAAAAAAAAAAAAAAAATGTATAGTAGATTTTTTTATGTGGCGATATTTTTAGGCAGGCGTAGTTTTTGAGCACTCGACATTTTTCACTGTGACATTTTGACGGGATACTCACTCTAATACGGAAAAACCATGCATTTATTGTGGATTGGATTTTAAATGGGCCACTTCTTTTACCTACCCACTCGTGCATATATGTGGCTGATACCAATTTTGGGACAATAATGAGGGTGGGGGATGAAGGGGGGATACGGTTTGTTAATCGATTATTTCAAGCAAATACATTTTTATAAACTAATAACAAATAACAAATAACACACAGGTGCAGTCACTGTTATGGATAATTTAATGTATACCTGAAAGCAACGATAAACCATTGCTTACGAAAAAACGATTCTGAACAGAGTTCAGTTGATAGTGGTACTTTGTCAACAATATAAATGTAAGTTTTTAGTAAAATAATTAAACAAGCTTTATATATTTTCTATAATAATATTTGTTTATGCTGTATCGATTTTCCCAATTTTTCTACGTTTCTCCCGGTTTTCCCATATTTTATCCTAGTTTTTCACATTTGCTGGGAAAACTCCTAAGAAAATCGAAAAACGACTTCTTTAAAATAACTCTCAAGTGAAATTTCCTTTTAGAAACATTGCTATCATTAAAAGTTGGAGCAAAATTGATGGTAGAAAAGTTGTTAACACACAAAAAAAAAAATAAACATCTTTGTAAAACCATAAGCTTCTTTGCTCCACTCAGAATCTAAAAAAAAAAATCGGTATACATATTATTTATTTTAACACAAACATTTGTTTTAAATAACCGCATTTTTTATTATAATACTGGGTGATCTACTTAAGTGCCAGAGTACATTCATTATCTCGGAAAGTAATAATATTTCCAAACATATTTTTTATTTATTTTTCGAAAGTTGAAGAAACAAGCAGCTCTAAAATGTTACATTACCATTATTTTCGTCACCCTTATTATCGAGAGTGGAGCGATTACCTACTTTTAATTTTTAAATGGCCAGTTTGGGTTGGGGGAGAATAGTAAAGCGTGCGGCAAAACGCCTTGCTGCCACACAGATAATGCTTCACTAATCTCCCTCTACCCAAATTTCGAAGTTGAAATCAACAAGTCGAGGAAAATGTTTAACATCAAAATATATTTAAACTAATACTCCACCTAACTATAGATTTTTTAACACAGGTTGCTGTTAGAAAATCAAAATATTTTGGTATTGTAACATTTTAGAAATTTTAGAGACATTTTTAGCCGGTATATATAACTTCGAATTATTTTGTTAGGATGTCAGATTTTAAAAATGTATGAAAATGTATAGACGATATTAACGATATTGTTATTAATTTCAGAAAATGGCTAATGTTCAGTCCATCGCTTTCGCGTTATTCATTGTGTCCATGGCTTCGATGATAGCGGTTACCAAACAACTATTTGCTTATGATGCTAGAGTGTACATACGATACCCCGAACCGGCAGCGAACTTACATAAACAGTGGGGACAAATGTTCGGTTAGTATAGTTTACGAAATATTCAGCTGTATATAATAATATATGTAGTTCTCTACAGTAGTGATTTTTAACCTTTTACGAATCCCGACCAATGTATTTTTTTTTTCAATATTGTTATCTGCTGTAATTCAGTTGGAAATATACGTAGAGACTTGAAATTTAAACAGAAAACTTATATTTACTTTTTCTAGACGTGTTAAATTTTTCAAAACATTTAAGCCATTTTTGAGCTATTTATAGATATATCAATTTTACGAGTTTTATACGTAATTTTTATTTGGTAGGTACTCTGTGGGAAAATTGTTAGACTTAACGGAAATACTAGAAAATTTAACAAAAGGTTCATTAAAAGTCTTACTTTGTGATTAAAATAAAAAAAATTGAATTTAATGTAGTATTTTTTTTCATAAAGTTAGCATACAATTTTGACGAAAATCATTTGAGGAAAAATGATGTGGAACAAATCTAATTTTTCGATATTTTTGTTTTAAACATATATATTTATAGCTGATTTTATAACGATTGTGAAGTCGGAATTGAGCGGACTGACTAAGTTCCGAAATTTTAGCTTTTTGAAGTTCTGATGTTATTTGTTATATTAAATAACTCTAAATTGTCCTTCATAATGTATATTTGTCATGATCTAATGGTTTAAGGTACCTAGTGTCATCCTAGAGATCGTGAGACCAAACCCGGGTTTCGAAAAAAATTGTTGCATTTATTTTTTCTTTTACCGAAACAGAGAAAAATAAATTCATTTTAGGTATACCTAGAGACCCAGCTATTACTCGCTCGAACAATTTTAATCGAAAAATACCCTTCGATTTGTTGTGCAAACTTTCTACCAGAAATTTTGCTCCAATTTTTAAATGTAGCACTTTTTCTGAAAGGAAACTTGACTGTGGAGATATTTTAAGAAGGCCTCTTTTTGATTTTTCCAAAAATGAGAAAAATTGAATAAAAAAAAGAAATAACGGAAGAACGGGAAAATAGGTACAATATTAAACAAATATTATTAAAGAAAATGTTTAATGCAAATGTAATTATTTTACCATAATATGGAATATAATATATTATGGACATAGCAACACTATCAACTAAACTCCACTCAGAATCATTTTTTTCGTTAGCAATGGTTTGTGGTTAGTTGCTTACAGATACAAATTAATTTCCCCTCTATACCTTACATTCCCAACTTCTCACTAACAACAGTGGCTGCTCCTATCGTGCGAAGTATGTCCGTTTTTTTTTTTTTTTTAATTATTCGTAAAAGAATACCAAACAATTTAAAAGAAAAAACATATGAGTATGTATAAGTATTCAGTGTGGTAATTAACAAAAAATACATTTCCAAAAAACTCTTAGCTGCTATACAGATTGCCAAAGCAAAACCAATATGCAACCTATTGTCTGTTTAAAGCAATGATTTTCATTAAAGTGAAAGCAAGGAAACTTTTAATATTGCAATTAAGTAGAATTTGATAGGTACCAGGTAATAAATTCGACGTAATCAACGTAATATTGTATCAATTACATTACCTAGTACCGAATTATTTTAAATATATCGTAGATAAACTATGTATAAATACCTAGGTTAAGTAAACTTGAAAATAATCAGGAAATATAAAATTTGTTGTGAAATATATAGTTCACTGGACACTGGTGCAGTTATTTGTTTCCACAAAATAATGTATTACGTTTCCTTAGTCATACGATGTGATTGTAATAGCCTGGTCAAATTACTGTCTGTAACTAAGTATTAGTTGACCTACCTTTAAATTTGATTAAAGTCATTTAAGTCACAGGTATCATATTAGACAACCGACTACACAACGCTAATGACCTAAATAAAATATACTTATACGCTATACAAATATTATTATACACAATTACAAGGAATAACCTACAACAAATTTGGATAGGTAACAATGTAATACGCAGTTAGCAGACCTATCATAGTATAAAGAATTTGTTCAAATTTAAGTATCAAAATTTAAGTGTTTGACACCCGTTTCACGTGGTTTCGTTTTGAATGCCTTGTGTGTAAATATAGTTTTATCGAGATCGGAATAAAATTGCGAATTTGTATAGCGGACAGACAGATAGACTTGTATGATATGTAATATAAGATATCAATATAAGGGTTTCATAAAAGTTTATAATCTAATTTCGTCATGTAATATTATTATAAAAAAATGTCTTATAACTTATACGATTTTAATTTTTTTTATTTTTAGCCGGAAAATTCAATGTATCGGACGTTGACGAATTTTGCCGAACCGCGGGTTATAATCTTAACAATGATAGATTGTGTTTTTGCCCGAACTGGCTTGATATGTTGATTAGCAATATGACGGATAGAGTTTTTTTGAGGAGCCCGTCAGTCTCCGTAGCGTATATTTCATCGTGGCCTAAGGTCGCAATTCAATGTTGTAACCAGTGTTGTAGATTATATGACCTCTATGACTTTATGTGTGTAAAGTTGCCGTTGGAAGAAATCTACAAACGTTATTACAATTAATAAACAAATTACACATGATGTAAGCACGCGTAATGTACTAATTATTATTATGATTTAAAAAAACAAAATAAATGTGAGCCGAATACAGGTTTTTAAATACCTATACAAATAAAATATCTAGGTGCACAAAGACAATTATTTTATTTTCATGATGGCGGTTGGTCAATTTTCAATTTCTTCTCCTGGTGTTTTGTGTACATTTGTGCTGAACTAATTGCGTCGAGTAAAATGTATTACCTTTAAACCAAATATTGTAAAACTCATTACGAAAACGTTTTTAAAATGTAGTTATTACCTACTTATTATATACTGTGTGTACTGTGTATCACAAATTTACAATATATCCGCTAGAATGGTGAAGTAGATTTTATTGAATAATGTCATAAGAGGTAAAATAAATTTCAAATTATACATTAACAGTAAAGGAAAAAAAAACGAGACAAAATACGTCCCGTATAACTTTCGTCGGAGCAACGAAACAAAAATTTGAAATACGGCACAATCCTGCAGTATAATACGGAAAGTATGGTCACCGAGAACGCCAACAGGCACCCCGTTAAGCCGCTACGTTGTATGAATAATCAGTTATTTAAATCATAGGACACGGATTTAGGATTTAAATTTTAAATACACAATTTGTATTTTAGTTTCTTTTACCATAATGATAATACCTACCTTTGATTAGAAAATTGATATTGGGTATCAATATTTTGGTCGCGACAGTGCGACCCACAGAGTAATACCGCGACCGGCTCGCTACAGTGATATAATATCTACAACCATAGTTTACGGTCGATTTTACATTTTTAAATGATGTTTGATAGCGATAAGTGATAACTTAATCAGATTATGCTGAGTGTTTTCTTCTTTGATAATATGGCAATAGTATAACAACAATATAAAATCATGGCTTCACAGTAGTATGACTGTACTCTACATTAATCTTTCGTGGATACGTGAAACCGTATCATACCTAACTGAAGGAACACCGATTTATAACTCGTCATACATCATCATACAGCGTTGCATGCACATCAAAATTTCTAGACAAATATTCTCTATTCGGAGCGTAATAATACTATGCTCATTGAAGGTATAAGAGACAGGTGTACAGTGTTAAAATAAAACTTAACGATTCCGCCGAAAAACGAAAATCACCGGTTCGCAATACAAATCGATCGCCCTGTGCACGTGCGTATAAAAAAAAAATATTCCGAGAAGGAGAGAGGGGGGGGGGTTAAGGTTGTACACGTTCATACTCTTACAACAATGAAGTGTACATATACTTTCAATTGTGGAATTATTTATTTTTCGCTAAAAATATCAGTATTTTACAACATATTAATTTTTAACTATTTAGATAGGTACCTATAACTAAATTTTGCATTTTATGTTTGTTTGGTGAATACAACGTAAATGATGACGTAGTTCATATTATTGAGATGATAACGCGGACTATGCAATATCGCCGTATAATTTTCTAAAAGCACGAATACCACGACAAATTAGAAATGACAACAATAACAAAATACACACCTACTATCTAGTAATGAAATAAAAATAAAACCAAAATAGTAGTTATCTTCCTCGATGACAGAAACCACTTTTGAGACTCTATTAAAACTCTGCTTTCATCACGTTATTCTTGTAGGTATAGGTACTACCCGTATAAGAATATTTAAACGTCGGCGAGTGATTTTTTTTTTTGCAGAATTATATTACGAAAACAAAAATAATAATGAATGAATAAAAAAAAAATAGCGTGCACGATCGTTATTTGAGGGAGGGCCGAGGAAATGTGAACGTAGTTCGGAGGGCGTACCGGCGTGACCACCAATCGCGACCGGCGGCTAGTCAGACTATATTATGTCATACATTTTTATATAAAACTATAATCCGACGGCGTGTAAATGATGTAACATTATAATAATCTTAAAAAACCAGCTGAGCCCTTCGGTTTTAACCAGTGGCGTGCTGAACATTTTTCGTACTTTCGTACTTTAAAACAAACAAATTTGGACCCACCCAATTAAAACATGGATTTGTACACGAACTACACATAATTGTAGAAAAAAAAATTATTTAGCTATATTAACTACAAAATATGGGCTATCATATTCGTAATTAGATACTTACATTAAAAATATAATATACAATACACATTCGATATATTTGGTCAGCTATCGCCTCAAAAAAAACTTACTTCGGCACGCCACTGGTTTTAATTCAATTGCGCGTTCTAATATTTTCAACACAACGTGTGTACAGTGCGTAACCCGAAGATCTGACATTTGAAACACGTAGCTTTTATTCTGTTCGATATTTTAAAATGTTATTTAATTTTTTTTTTAGATTTTGTCATTCTGAGGTTTTACAATGAAGGGGATTTTTCTTACACTGTAACGAACATTTCTACCAGAAATCTTGCTTCGATGTATAAGTGTGAGACCATTTCTGATAGGAAATTTCGTTAAAATGGTACTTAAAGGAGGTAATTTTTTTGATTTTCCAAGCGGTTTTCATAATATTAGGGGAAACCCGGGATATGAAACGTAAGAAAAACGGAAAAATTTACGAAAATATAATGCTTTTTATTATTATTATTTTTTTTTTGTTGTTGTAACTTGGTTAAAAATATTTGTGGAGACTTGAAATTTGGCCAGAAAATTTGTATTTGCCTTTTTCTAGACACGATAAAATTTTTAAAACATTTCAGATATATTTCAGCTATTTATTTTAATTTTACGAGTTTTATACGTAATTTGTATTAGGTACTCTGAACTATTAGTTTACTAGGCATTAGTTACTCTGTGTTAAAGTTCTTAGACTAAACAGATATATTTATGTTCACCCTAATTTTCAGGGCTAAAACGACTATCTACTTTTGATTTAAAATGGAAACCTGAATCAAAAATACCATAAACAACAGACGGATTATTAGAGTGTTAGTTTAAATTCGTTTTGGCATTGAAACGTTTGATTCTCGTCGACCCTTTTACGAGATATTTCACATTTAAGTTTGTATAGGAGGAGAGCGAATCGGGCACTGTTTAAACGGCACAACCCGTGCCACCGCACAAATGATGTTCCACTCCCGAAAATAAGGGTGACAAATACAATAATGGTAATTTAACGATTTACAGCTGTTTGTGTCTTACTTTGTCAAATTAATAATTAACTATCGAAAATACTGGAAAAAATGTATAATTTCCGAGGTATCACAATGGGCATATCTTCGTGGAACACATTATTTAATAAATATTAAGTACAATTTAAAAAAATTGCCGTCAGGGAAATCTATAGCAATACATATATATATATATATATATTACCTATACATACATTTAGTATCTTATTTATTTATATTCTCAACTACCCACCTAAAACAGTGTCCGAACCTGTTTTTTTTAGATTTTAATTAGAGCGAAATAGCTTATGCTTCTACAAAGATGTTTATTATGTTTTTCTGTAGACAACTCTTCTACCAAAGGACTTGATCCAATGTTTACGTATAGAGCTTTTTCTAAAAGAAAATCGGTGTGAGGAGGTACCTTAAATAAGTCATTTTCAGTTTTTCTCAAAAGTTTTCTTCTCATAATAATTGAAAAACCGAAAAAAAACGGTAAATTTTAGAAAATTTAGGTATTAGTTAAAAAACATATATTACGGTCTTCTTTTCTGTCAGCAATTTTGCTCCAACCTTTAATGACAGCAATGTTTCTAAAAGGAAATTTCACCAGGGAGGTACTTTAAAGAGGTCATTTTTCGATTTCCTTATGAGTTTTCTCATCAAATTTGAAAAACCGAAAAAAAAAAAAAAGCAAGAAAATATAAGTAATGTTGATATTAGTTAAAATATGTTACGGCCTTATTTTTTAAGGAAAATATACAGAGCCTATTTAATTATTTACTACAATATGGCATATATATATATTGTTCACAAAACTTCACCTTCAACTGGACTCCGCTCAGAATTAATTTTTCGTAAGCAATGGTTAATCGTTGCTTACCCGTCCCCATTATCCTAGGACGTGTTTTTAAATATAATAACGCTATCTATTACCATATCCCAGATAGCAATACTATATCTTATTAATTTTTATAATGAAATAATTTATAAAATGTTTTAGTTTTCTATATTTTTCATTTAAATAATATTTACAAAATAGCGGATGGGCCGTGGGATTTTCGTTTATTAAATATTTTAAAAATTATATTTTTCAAACATTTTTTTGTAAACGAAATTGGCTGCGTGACCGTAAAATATAATGTAATCGACAAAATACAATAACAATAAAAATGTGATATCACTGCCAACAATACATTACAAATTACGAGGGCTAATCAAAAAGTATCAAGACTGGTAATTAGTATCATTCGGAAAAGGAGCATCGAAGAGCAGTGGTATCACTTGCTTCTATGACTTTTTCCGAGTACATTTGTGTTTATTACTTCTCTATAAAATTCTTCGGTTTGATTTCACTGATATTTTTGTAAAATATATTTTTCGAGTTTGGCGATTTTGTAATAAACCCAAAAGAAGAGCAACTTGACAGATTTGGAGATTTTGGAAAATTCGTCTGCATTTTTTTCCAGTCCCAGAGGGATGCAACATTTCGTGGTTTTTGCCATTAAATGTCAATTGAAATACTGAAAATGTGCCCTCGAGTGGCAGCGAGTTCCGCTTCTTTTGGGTTCATTGCGAAATCGCCAAACGTGAAAAACAAATTTTAGAAAAATATCGTCAAATCAAAACGAAGAAGTTTCTAGAGATTTTATACGAATAGACGTGCTCAGTATAAGTCATAGAAGCTAGGTTTACAAATCGTTGTGCTCTTCGACGTACGGTTTCCGAGTAATATTATCAGTCTCGATACTTTTTGATTAGCCCTCGTATACGTTTTAGGTTCACGTCGTTTGATGTATGGTGACGTTGAGTAAACCACGGTCGACCCGTTTCGTGATCTTGGCGTACTTTTAATTGTAACGATATTTGTTTA